TCATCGAATTTGAACTCGGAAAATGCTACAGCTGCTGATATCATAAAGAGGATTCCAATCACGAATCTACTTTACAGCAGCACTAGAAGTAGCGTTCTTCAGTCTCTTAATATTTTTTTAGCAATTCTAAAGACAATGTCTCTGGTCTGATAATTTCTTTGCGTTTATACTAGTCCATCTGTTCCCATGAAGCTAAGTATACCAGTCGATCAATAGAGATGTTGTCCAAATGGACAAAAGAACACTTTCCTGCTTGTGTACGAAGAATAAGCAGTGGATTCATGAGAAGAGCAGTTGTGGAAAATCTCATCGATATTGGTCATTTGATGTAAACAACCTCCACTTCCAAAGTTACTTACCAGTTCAAAAGCAACTTTTGAAAGGCAGTATATGTTAGCTTCTTTGACAGCGCTCAAGCTTCAGCTGTTCACAAAAGCATTCTAGAACTAGAGTTTTTCAAATTACTCCTTTTTTAGTATAATTGTTTTTATATTATACCGTCGTTGATTGGACCGAATTGGTCCCTCTTGATTGTCATATGGGCTCCTGTGCGAATGCCTCAACATTATCTGCGTTCTAATCATATCAATGATGGATAGTGGCTAGCAGTGGAATCCAGGATGCTCATTTCGTCCTATTTGGGACTCGTCAGCTGGATGTACCTGCCTCCTAGTGAGTAATGTTGTTCCCAGCGGAATTCAAACTCGGGACTGACCGCTTCAAAGCCAGAGCGTTATCCACTACATCACCGGGCCACGATAGCCACTTCTTGTGCGACGGGCATAGTTTTTAGCATAATTGTTTTATATCATACCGTCGTTTGAAGCGATCTCTCCAGAGTCCGAATCTAGGTGGGGACAAAATTACTCAATGGGAAGCAGGTACATTCACCTGGCGAGTCCCAAATAGGATGAAATGTCCATCATGGATTCCACTGGTACCCACTATTCATCATTAATACTCCTTTTTCTCTTCCGTCTATTCTGTCACTTTCTTCCCTAATGTCAACTTTTGACTTTCCTTGTTTTTTATGAAAGTAATTCACCTTGCAATTATTTGTTTTCTTACTGAATACGTTTTCGTACCTCGCTTGTCTATATCTCATTTCCGTTGCCTTCTGGTTAACATTTTTACCCTTGACAATTTTTAGTATTTCTAAGTTTTGAAGAAAAAATCAAGTTTCACAAAAAAAAATGCAATTGCATATAGTTCTCATTGTGTAGCTTGGAAAATGAAATCCCTGGAAAAAGCCTCTTCGCTGAAATACTTGTCATTTTGATTTTGTCAGGAGGAGAATTACAGTAAATATGAATAAAGTGCAAATACACTAACAATTACAGAATACTGGGGATAGTTATTGTTGCTCAAAGTTTACGCAGTTGACGTAGAGTTATTTTATAGGTGTAAGAAAATGGCTTTTATGACTTTTTGTATTTCATATGTTCAGTTACATCAAAGTGACCAGTGCCACACCATCAATAAAAATAAAGCCTTCATAAGATAAGGTCCTCTTTGAGTTGTCAACTCCACAGTTTACAAGATAATCATAGAGAAAGTTGAAAGGGACAGGTAAATTTTCACGAATATTATATTATTATTATATTATTAGTCCCTTGGGTTCCTAGTGGAACAAAGGGCTTCAGTAGCACGCCTCCAGTGACCTCTGTTCTCTGAGATCTTTTGAACCTGGTCCCACGACAGCCCAGAAGCTCTCATTTCCTGCTCGCACGACCTCCTCCATGTCACCCTCGGACGTCCAACTCGTCGCTTCCCATGGGGATTCCACTCGAGGGCCTGACGCGTGATGTCCTCCGTCGGCCTTCTCAGTGCATGCCCAATCCATCTCCACTTCTTCCTGCATATTTGTTGGGTGATAGGTTCTTGGTTGGTTCGTTCCCAGAGTTCCTTGTTGCTTATTTTTTCTGGCCATCTGATCTTCAGCAGCGAGCGTAAGCAGTTGTTGATGAATGTCTGTAGTTTATTGGAAATACCTTTCGTGACGCGCCAAGTCTCTGAGCCATACAAGAGCACTGACTTTACGTTGGTGTTGAAAATCCGTATCTTGTTCCGCATGCTGAGTGCAGAAGATCTCCACACTGGTTTCAGGCTAATGAATGCCTGTCTTGCTTTTCCGATTCTGACTTTGACGTCCTCGTCCGTCCCGCCTGTAGTTGAAACAGTGCTTCCTAGATAAGTGAAGGAGGTTACTTCCTTCAAGTTTCTCCCGTTGACAGTGATTGGAGTTTGTTGTTGTTGTTGTTGTTGATGGTGGTGGTGCGGTATCTTCATCACTTCTGTCTTCTCTATATTCACCTGAAGTCCCGTCTTAGCTGCCTCTTTTGCCAACTTGTTAGTTTTTGCCTGCAGATCTTCAAGTTTATGTGACATTAGGCATAAGTCATCGGCGAAATCCAAGTCTTCTAGGTTCTTTTCCGTCGTCCAGTGTATCCCCCTCTTCTCGCTGCCTACTGTTTGCTGCATGATCCAGTCCACCACAATCAGGAATATCATGGGGGATAGTAGGCAACCTTGTTTCACTCCTGTCTTCACTTCAAAGGCATCACTGAGCTTCCCATTGTGGATTACTTGGCATGTGGCATCTTCATATTGTTGTTGAATGAGGCGGATAAAGGTTTGCGGTACTCCGTAGTATTGAAGCAGTTTCCAAATTACTTCTCGGTCGACGCTGTCAAAGGCCTTCTCAAAGTCGATGAAGTTGAGGTAGAGAGCTGATTGCCATTCTATGCTCTGTTCTATGATGATGCGAAGCGTTGCAATTTGGTCTGCACATGATTTGTACTTCCTGAAGCCTGCCTGTTCCGGTCGTAGTTTTGAATCCAGTGCATCCCTTAGCCTCTCCAGGATGATGCGGCTTAATATTTTACTTGGGGTGGACAGGAGAGTGATTCCGCGCCAGTTCTTGCAAGCACTGAGGTCTCCCTTCTTCGGCAGTTTGACAAGGTAACCCTTCTTCCAATCGTCAGGTACCTTCTCTTCCTTCCACACCTTCTGCAATAGTGGTGTGAGCATGGCCGCTGTTGTCTCTGCATCTGTTTTCAGTGCTTCTGGCGGTATTCCATCTGGTCCTGCTGCTTTCCCGCATTTCAGTAGCTTTATGGCGTTCAGGACTTCCATTTTCGTTGGGGGATTTATGTTCACTTGTAGTTCAGCGGCTGCAGGTGGTATTTCTGGACGAAGTGCAGGTGGTGGTCGATTCAAGAGCTTCTTGAAGTGGTCGGCCCATCGTTTCCTCTGTTTCTCTTCTTTTGTAATTAAATTTCCTTCATCATCTTTTATTGGTTTCATCTGTGTTGGTCTCGCCCCTGATAGCAACCTGGTTATTTGATACAATGTCGTCAGGTCTCTCTTACCTGCAGCCTGTTCTGCTTCACTTGCCAGTGTTTCGTAGAAGTGTCTTTTGTCTTTGCGTGCACTCTTCTTCACTTCTTTGTCCAGTGTTTTATACATTGTGCTCAGTTCCTCTTGTCGTTGAGCATCCTTGCACCAGTTTATCTTCTGCTTCACCATCCTCCTCTCCTCTATCAGCTTCCAGGTATCCGTCGAGATCCATTCCTTGTCTTCTTTCTTCTTCCTTCCTAATACTGTTGTGCAGGTTTCTTTCCACATAGCTTTCAAAGACTTCCAGTGTTCTTCTACACAGGTTTCTTCAGGGATGTCCCTCGACGTCTCCCATTTTGTCTTGATGGCTGCCGTGAAGATCTCCTTTGTAGTTTCATCCTTCAGTTTCCGAGTGTTGTACTTGAATTGAGGTCTATCACCAGCTTCCTTGAAGGCTTTTAACTTGATTTGGAAGGTTCCTTGCACTAGGTAGTGGTCTGAACCTACATCTGCTCCTCTTCTTGACCTTGTGTTAAGTAGACTGCGTCTCCATTTTCTTGAGATTGAGATAAAGTCGATTTGATTTTTAGTGTGTCCATCTGGTGAAATCCATGTCGCTTTGTGGATATCTTTGTGCCTGAACACACTGCCTCCAATCACCAAATCGTTGAATGCGCAGAATTCTGCAAACAATTCTCCATTCTCATTCATTTCACCTAGTGCCTCTCGACCCATGGTTAGTTCTCTTCCCGTGTTGTCCCCTCCCAGTTTGGCATTCATGTCGCCCATCAGAATTTTGATATCGCCAACTGACGTCTTGTCCAGTGTTGATTGAAGTTGTCTGTAGAATTCCTCCTTTTTCTCTTGCTCTGCATTATTTGTAGGTGCATAACATTGTATGATTGTGACCTTTCTTCCTTTTGAGTTGAATCTTGCTGTCATGATCCTGGAGGAGATTGGTTCCCACTGCATGAGAGCCTTCGATGCTCTTGAGGACATCATGATAGCCACTCCCTCAGTGTGCTCGTGGTTGGCGTCTGGGTGATAATATCGGAGTAGATTATTGATTCTCCAGTTGACAGTTTGGAGAGTCCACTCCCATTCCATCTGCTTTCGCAAATCCCAAGCACTTCGATGTTATACCTTCTCATCTCCCTTGCA